GTGAAATATATAGAATATGTCAGCTAAAATTTACAAAAAGTAGGTGCAGTTACACTCTATTCAAAGAAATTTAAACCTAATTAGTCTTTTTTTCTGTTTTTTAACAAACAATTTGCTTGACTGGTGATTGTTTTAATGTACATGACCTGAAACTTCCCCCAGTTTCCAGTTTCAGGTCATGTACATTAAAACAATCACCAGTCAAGCGAACTATCTGCCAAAAAACCACATACGAAAAAGAATATTTTAACTGGAGAAAAAAAAAAGCAGTGGATAGAATTCGTTTTGCACTAAAAGGAAAAAAAAAAGGGAAGGGAAACGCGTGTCAAACACTTAGGAAACACTTAAGTTGAACAGTGTGCCCAAAAAAATGGTGCGCTTCTTCAGCAAATTACCATTTGTATAATCGAATTGGCAACAAGTCGCTGCCCAAATCGTACATTTTTATCGCAAAAAAGTGCAGTACCGACGATCAACAACAAATTGAATGGCTACCTGCTGCCAAAAATTAACTATTTTTTATCTCCTGGAAAACTGCCAACGACCTAGAATTTTCCCTCCAAAATAACTTCCACAATTATATACGTGGGAAAAAGATGTCACCCGAAAATGGGGAATTACAAATATTTTTTTTTCACTTGACAGAGTTCTGCAGTTCGTTTGGATGCTTTTTGATGCTTTGTTGAGGGACGAGGATTTCTGGTATCTTTGTTGCTGGATAAAACAAAACTACTGAGGCAAAGTGTTATGGTTTCAAGCGTTAAGAATCCTGAAAATGTTAACAGAGTATTGATAGTTTTCTTGACCACGCAAAATTAAAATTTTTGTTGATACAAAATTTTTTTTTAGATTCTGTTACTTGGAACCAGAATTTTTACATGGGTTATTTAAACTGATCTACTTTATTGCTCTCTTCTGGTTGTTTTGCTATACTGTTGGAAGTTTTAATTTTAATGGGTTATTTTATTGTTTGAATATATAAAAAGAGCTAGAAAGTAGGGATTATTTTCTAAACAAAGTATTGACAACGTCATTTGATCTCTTGGTGCTTCATTTTTTTTTTTTTTTT